CCTTTACATCTGCTATTGTGTGGCAGTTCCCCTTACCTCACATGGCAGTCAGACAGAACCTAGTGAATGTCTGATCTGCTGCCATTTAGTTTTGGCTAAACCTTCTACAGGTCTTTTAAAAACCTTCAGAACTTCAATTATCTTGACTTACAATTGCAGTCATCATCTCTGCCCATCTAGACTGAGTAGTGACCAATATCTCCCTCTCTGCACAGGGTACCTTAGAGTTGCAGACTCAAAGCCTGTGGGCTTGAATCTTTATCCATCCTGTGATGAGTAAATCCCTTTAAGATTAACACAACAGGTGTCTCTTCTACCTAGAAGTCGCATATACCAAGCAGAAATTCAGTGTGCCTATTGTTCTCTGCTTAGAAAACTAAGTCATGATATATGAGGTGGAAGTTCTGTCTTTTGCAACAATTCATGTCTTTTTCAACAAGCTCCAGAGTTCTGCTACTGGACAAGCCAAAATCATCCATGCCCCATCTAGCAGAAAAAAAAGCACTGACGTTCAGTACCAAGAAGATGGTGGTTGTATTAATACCTAGCCCTTGGTACCAAAGCCAACCCCAACATCTTTGCTATCCAAGCCATACCAACACCTCTGGTGTTGAAGTCCAGCATTAAGAGAGGCCACTCTGAACGCAGTGCCAGAGATTGTGGGAGGAGCTAAGTATCTTCCTATAAGGAAAAACTACGTAAAGTCTCTGTAGATAAATCCACCAGGCCCTTGACAATATTAAGGACTGAGAGAAGGATCAGCCTGCAGCAGAAAGGACCTTTCCAGCAGCTAGCCCAATTCTGGTGATGTGCCCCTTAACATTGACGCCTGTCATGGAAGATGAATCCAGGGGAGAACTGGGGCAGTCATCAATGCAGAACAACCTTCTGATACCGCAATAGGACCCCCCCCTCCCCCAGTACCAAGAGAGCCATATCCTTCTGCATATGAAGCCTGCTTCTTCAAACGATGGTCTCTATTGTATTCCACTGAGGGTTTACGCATGCGCACCGTGCGTCCAGAACCAGAGATCTTGAAAGTAATAATGTCTGTTGGTCAGTGCATGTGCCCTTGGTTCACCTCATGATTTCATACAAAGTGATAAAGGGCAGAGAAGACAGACTGTGGCACCAGTTCCTTCTCATCACTGCATGGTCTAGGTCAAAATTATTAGTGTCCTCTCGTGTGTGACGCACTTTTAAATATAGAGTTGTACTTAATTAGCTTAGAGTATTTTACTGATTTTACTGTTTATATAGTAGTTTTGTAGTTTACTATTTTTAGGAGTAGAATCGAGTTCCTTGGGCTGGGGGGGTGTCTTCCATATAAACAGCCCCCATACTCACATGCGGATATTGGACTGTGCCAAAATCCCAAGCTCTAAATCTGCACCTCCTTCCCGCGTTCCTTCTTGGTCAGCGACAAACATCAACACTGCCTCTACTGCTTGGGAGAAGCCCACATTTCATCCAGGTGCAGTATCCGCCAGTCCTTCCCCAGCTGTATCCAAGAAGGCCAAGTTCTCTGCCTCTGGAAGTATCTCGTGGAAGGCCAGGCAACCCTCCCTCCCGCCCCTTACATCGGCTTGCAGCAGCCAGGAGTATGCCTCCAGCTACAGAGTCCAGCACGGGCAGTACTATCACTATGGACCCTGCACCAGGACCTAGTCGGGAGGCAAGGTTCCAGACTTTGCAGGAAATCATAGCCTGCATAGTCAACAGTCTGTCTGTCTTGGCCAAGACCTGCCTATCCCTCCTTGGTCATATGGACTCATGTACATACGTCACTGCCTCCACTCACCTCTGCCTTACCTGCCTCCAGATGTGGCTTCAGAGAGTTTACTTACCCAGGTG